GGAGAAGAAGCGGGACGTGGCATTTGAGCACAGTAAACAGCTAATCACCAAGGCACCTGTACTGGTGCACTTCGATCCAGCCAAGCCTGTGGTCCGTATTGTAGATGCATGACCATACGGTGTAGGGGTCGCCCTAGCACACAGAGACAAGGATGGCTAAGAACGCCTGGTGTCGTTTACTTCTCGTCGTCTTCACACATCAAAACAGTGTTACAGCCATCTGGACAAGGAAGTCTTCGGCCTCATGTTTGGCATCGAGCGTTTTCACCAGTACTTGTGGGGCCGAAAGTTTGAGGTAGTCTTGGACCACAAATCACTGCTGGGGCTACTGGGACCAGGTGGTTCCCGGGCAGTTATCACTTCGAATGGTGCAATGGGCCTTGAAGCTGGCACCCTACAGTTACCAGTTGATGTACCGTCTGGGAAAAGACCTGAGGCCTACTGATGCCCTAAGCCAGTTGCCGCTGCCAGAGGTGCCTGCTGCTGTTCCAGAGCCAGCTGAAGTGCTCATGCTGCAGCATGCATACCCAGAGGTAATCTCCAGGTCTGCTGTGTCACAGGCGACCAGTCGGACCAGGTCCTGTCCCACTTGGTGAAGGCAGTATCCCGAGGGGAGTAGTTGGTGCAGCAGCCCTAAAGCCACAAGGCCACTGAGCTGGGCCTCTAGCAAGGATGCCTACTTTGGGGTTCCAGGGAAGTGATCCCACAAAGTCTCAGGTCCAGGGTCCTGCAGTTGCTGCACGTGGGGCATCCTGGCATGAAAAAGACAAAGATGGTGGCCCGGTCCCACGTTTGGTGGCCTGGACTAGACCAGAACATCGCTCACATGTTGCAGAGCTGCTAAGTCTGCCAGGCACATCAACGGGCCTCGCATCATGTAGAGATCACCCCATGGCCATTTCCACAGAGGCCCTGATCCCGCCTTCAAGTGGATTTTGAGGGCCCCTTTGAAGGCCACTCTTCCTTGTGGTGGTTGACACATTCTCAAAGTGGGTGGAGGTTATACCTGTCACCACTTTGTCAGCAGGAGCAACCACTGCAGCACTACAGCAGATCTTTGCAGCCCAGGGGCTGCCGAACATCATAACCTCCGATAATGAGCCCACTTTCGCTAACGCAGAGTATCTGCCCTTGCTGACAAAGAATGGAATCCACTGCATGATGTTTTCAAATGGTGCAGCTGAGCGGGTGGCACAGACTATTAAGGACAAACTTAAGAAGAGCCAGGTTGGGTATTTCCATACGCAGGTAGCCTGCATACTCTTCCAGTATCAGACTACACCTCATGATGTCATCGGCTGTACCCCCTGTGAGCTTTTGCTGGGATGGATGGTGAAGACACCGTGGGACATTCTGCACCCAGACCTCCGGTCCACGACGCTTCTGAAACAGCTGAAACAGAAGCTCGCATACTCTTCCAGTATCAGACTACACCTCATGCTATGTGTGTGGGATTGTCCTTGTTAGAGAGCGGTGCCTCGGCCCTCCCTCTCGTCCACGGTCTTCAGGGCAGATCGTGACAAAAGCTGGTTTCAGAATTGGTGCTGAAGCAGCGTCGAGCATAATTTCCCTTATTTCTAAAGCACACAACGTAATGGTAATGATGAGGTGCTTTTCTGTAATGCAAGGACCAATGTAGTCAAATGGCTACGTAATAATATTTTTTTTATTATTTTATGTTGCTCTTTGGCCAGATTGGCCCTTCCGCAACAAAGCAGCCCACATCACCAACATAAATATTAATTTCGATGACCAACAAACTAGACAGTATACTACATGCATTGTGGGTGTTAAGTGGTCTAAAATTAGTTCCTACAGTAGCGTGTAAGTAAAACATACGTGTTAAATGTATGATGATTGTGCCATGACTGCTTATTTAAATGGGTGGAGGTTATACCTGTCACCACTTTGTCAGCAGGAGCAACCACTGCAGCACTAAAGTATCTGCCCTTGCTGACAAAGAATGGAAACCACTGAATCATGTTTTCAAATGGTGCAGCTGAGCGGGTGGCACAGACTATTAAGGACAAACTTAAGAAGAGCCAGGTTGGGTATTTCCATACGCAGGTAGCCTGCATACTCTTCCAGTATCAGACTACACCTCATGATGTCATCGGCTGTACCCCCTGTGAGCTTTTGCTGGGATGGATGGTGAAGACACCGTGGGACATTCTGCACCCAGACCTCCGGTCCACGACGCTTCTGAAACAGCTGAAACAGAAGCTCGCATACTCTTCCAGTATCAGACTACACCTCACGATGTCATCGGCCATGCCCCCTGTGAGCTTTTGCTGGGACGGATGATGAAGACACCGTTGGACATTCTGCACCCAGACCTCTGTTCCCCGGCTCTTCTCAAACAGCTGAAACGGAAGCTGGCTGCTGACAAAGGGTGCCGTCCTGGGCCATTGCCCGAGCCTGGAATGCAGGTATTCACCACGAAATTTCATTCTGGCCCACCTTGGTCTTCTGGACAAATAATATCGCCTGCAAGCTCCTCCTCTCTGCTCGTTAGAGTGCAGAATAGAACCATATGGCACCGACATGCTCACCATATGAGGGCTAACCGTGGGACAGGCTTGCTTCTACGGCAGCACCAGTTGCGGCCAGTGAGACACCAATTTCGCAATAAACATGTGCCTCCAGTTGAACCACCGACAAGTTCAGTGCCATCTCTGCCAACAACAGCAGAGTCTCGGGAGGAATCAAGAGTGGCTCCGGCAGCACCTAGTTCTACCGCAAGTAGTCCCTCAACACCTGTACCCAGGCAGAGCATTCGACGAAGAAGGGCACCAAACCGCTTTTCCCCTACCTAAACCAACGTCGGACCGGCTGGGACTTGACTTTTTTATTTTGTGTACAATAACTGGTGGTGAGGGGTGTAACGAGCATGTGGCGCACTGCCTAGCCTAGTTTCATTAACTTGTCAAGTTCGGCAGGCAACCTGGGTCGTGCTTGAATAATAAACACTGACGAACGCTGCTCAGCAGTCAGTACCTGTTACTCTGCTATGTGTGTGGGATTGTCCTTGTTAGAGAGCGGTGCCTCGGCCCTCCCTCTCGTCCACGGTCTTCAGGGCAGATCGTGACAAAAGCTGGTTTCAGAATTGGTGCTGAAGCAGCGTCGAGCATAATTCCCCTTATTTCTAAAGCACACAATGTAATGGTAATGATGAGGTGCTTTTCTGTAATGCAAGGACCAATGTAGTCAAATAGCCTAGTTTCATTAACTTGTCAAGTTCGGCAGGCAACCTGGGTCGTGCTTGAATAATAAACACTGACGAACGCTGCTCAGCAGTCAGTACCTGTTACTCTGCTATGTGTGTGGGATTGTCCTTGTTAGAGAGCGGTGCCTCGGCCCTCCCTCTCGTCCACGGTCTTCAGGGCAGATCGTGACAAAAGCTGGTTTCAGAATTGGTGCTGAAGCAGCGTCGAGCATAATTTCCCTTATTTCTAAAGCACACAACGTAATGGTAATGATGAGGTGCTTTTCTGTAATGCAAGGACCAATGTAGTCAAATGGCTACGTAATAATATTTTTTTTATTATTTTATGTTGCTCTTTGGCCAGATTGGCCCTTCCGCAACAAAGCAGCCCACATCACCAACATAAATATTAATTTCGATGACCAACAAACTAGACAGTATACTACATGCATTGTGGGTGTTAAGTGGTCTAAAATTAGTTCCTACAGTAGCGTGTAAGTAAAACATACGTGTTAAATGTATGATGATTGTGCCATGACTGCTTATTTAAATGGATAGAGGGTGCGTTCATTCTAACGCACGCATGATTAAATCTTTCGGTGCAACAGTCTGGCAGTGACACTAACAATAAAGTGAACTGTAAAATTGCAAATTTGCACATATCACCAAAATATTGTGTATATGGCGTACTTAGTGTAGATTTCTCCTAGACTTTCTCCCCTCACACTGCATAGAAACTACATTGTAATAAATATGCAGTACTTGTAATGGTCAAATAACAACCTTGATTGAAATAAAAAAAAAGTAGTTAGCGGAAAATTCCTGTGAAGTTGTCCGTACAACAACAATGCCAGTCTGTAAGTTAAGCATGTTAAGTACAGTGAAAGAACAATATACGGTTTGCTGAAACACTATTCATAAGCAGGAAAACTCGCTACAACGTTCAAAAAACGCTAACACGATGTCTATATAGCATTAATTGACCCCGCGTTCTGATCACAATGTTAATGTGTGCATCAACTTATGACGATGAAATGGGCTTGTTGAGGTTAGGCAGCTCTGGTATATCCAGGTCTGGTTGCTGCCACAACACTCGCGGATATATAATACCAGTTAAGAAAGTTAACCCGCAGAATGTCATGCACGAAACCGATATCCCTTCGTGAAATTAAGCTAGCTCTTGCATCGCTGTTGTCTCTTTGACCCATGGAGACGAGTTCTTTAACATTTCGAAGGTGAATGATGTTGCGCGATAAAGTTATCTGTGGGGCAGCCAAGCACAAATCCACTGGCAGTGTGACGTTTGGGGACAACTCGATCGCGATAGAGCCAGATCCAGATAAAACTCCTCGATCGCGTTTGAGTCCCTTTCGCAGCTTGCGCAAAACGAGACAATGGCGACGGAGAAATCTGATACCGATTGGGCGCGACTGTGGTCGCGGAACTGCACCGCGTAAGGAACTGCGTTACCCGCTGCGCAAACGGCGCAACAGGTTGCAAACGCAGCAAGAGATTTGCAAGCACCATTTCGAAACTGAAGGCAGGATGGATTTCTTTTTTTCCCGCCCGCCGTGCCATTATCGTGACAGCTGTCACCAGGTTTCGTCCATACTACTAGGAAGCGTCCCCACAAGAACGACGCCATCGAAATGCGCTCTTGTGATCGTCGTCGCAGTCCTTGAAACACCTGTTGCGAGCGTATCACCAAGGCTTTTTCGTTAGCCGTCTTCACAGCCGTAAAAAGGCCGGCTCGCGAAAGACGCTCGGAACCACGACAAGCGTCACAGTTTCCTACCTGGGATAATCCTTCGGCGATCCTTGGCAGCAGCGACGAATCTCGATAAGGCGTTCCATCGGCAGTAACGTAAACAACGTTGTTGACCTCACCGACCCCCGCGTTTTTTTAGAGTAATAATCAGCCCAGCGCTGTAAATTGAGAGCTTAACATACACTGTATTGGTCACCCATTACGCAATACGTTCCGCTGCGATAGGAAGAGAAAGATGGAATACATCCTCTGAAGAAGAAACCAAGTCTACAGTCGAGGCCGATAGCGAAACAGCAGCGATAGAACGAGCGCGGCCATTTTGATAAACTACTGTCGATATTTGTGCGGTGTCCAGAAGAGGTTAGGACCTGCAATGGTTTCAGTTTCGTTTTGAGCTTACGAGTGAGCCAGATAGCACTATCGGCTGGACCACGCGGCTTTTAGAAATCTGCCTCAGATAGTGTGACTTAAATAGAAAGCACAAAATTATCTTAGATCGTGCAATTATTTGAAAACGCGAACTGCTACTAACGTTACGATGCCTGCGATGATGCTCTAACGGTTTCATGCCGGGTGTCGCACAAACACTTTCGATCGCGATAAATGTTGATCCGGATTTTATTTCTTGATCAAGAAAAACAACAGTCACGGCTGCGCCTAGCTATGTGATGTGAACTAATCTGAATTTTGCTTAGAATTACAATCGAGCCTCACCCGGACAATGACCCTGATTGCGATTGAAAATGGCGGTAGTATTCATCAACCTGTGTAGCAGCAATCTGTGTTCTGTTATGGTAAACCTATGTTGCTGCTAATACCGCGGTGTCACACGGTCATTTTTTATCGCTGTCGAAGCCGATCAGGATCGGGCGCACTAGCACACGATCACAATATTTATTCGACATCAGGATCAAGACGATCAATATCGGTGATCTTATGATGGCGGGCGACTTCAAAATAATGTTCCAAAAATTACAAAGCCGCTTTTGACAAGAATAGGTCTAGTTACTGATGCTGATGATCTCAGATGGATGGCGCCTCCGTGGATGGCACTCACTGACAGAGGGGGATGGGCCAAGAACCGGGCGGCAGGATACTTAAATGAAACTAAAATGAAATAAAGCCAATCTGAAAAATTAGTTTAGAGATAAAACTGCCAATAAAAAGAAATGGTTACTGAGCAAGCGGTCAAACCATCTTTTGTTCCTTACAGACACAGCTACGAATTATAAACTAAAGATCTGAAATGGTTAGGGTTCAGTAGAACGGTAATCTTTTAGTTGCATTGATGTAGTCAAACACAGTGGAGTATATATCCCTGTGGCAGTAACCAAATGAAGTGCCGTCAAGTGATAAAAGTACTGGTACATTTACTTGCATTCCTAACTTTGTAATGGGGCTTCTGAAAATCTTTTTTCTGATAAAAGTAATGACGACAGAATAAAAAGAAATGTTCAATTGTTTCAATTTTGTTGCGAAAAATGCACAGCGGTGACGCCTTGAGTCCTGGATATCGGCCAGCCAGCCTTAATCCCCTAGGACCTGTTAGTACAACTTGTATTTAGATAGCCGCCGGTACAGCGAACAAAAAATATGTGCACCTTATGGTGCTTTAGCTAATCAAGATGAATTTGATAAAAAAATTAAAAAACAACCCTCTCCATGCATGTTTGTTTCAATTTTAGTAACTAAATAAGGAATAGATTTCAGCTTATAATGCCAACTGTGGGTGCAGACTGGGCATTTCAGGAATAAGTGCGTTCTCTGGCTGAATTCATCACCGCAAGATGAAGGCACAATCATCATCAGCCTGTTCTAAGTCCACTGCAGGAAAAAAGTGCCCTAATGACCTCCAATGTACCTTGTCTTGTCACCATGTCCAATTTTCAACATGCACATGCGTGCCCTTATGAATGGAAATATGCATGCATGTTTACAAATGGCAATTTGCTTAACCCTCTTTCTGTATCATCAGGCATTCCACAGGGCTCTATTCCTGGGGCTCTTTTATTTATATTATATGTTAAAATTTCTGCAAGCTTGCTGCTGACAACTGCGTTATTTATTGAACCATAACTACTGCGGCATAACTATATAGGACGGCGTCCATGGCAAATATACTTCTGCGCCCCTCAGGATGGTGATGGCAGTGATTTTTTTTCGTTTTATACATTACTGTTTTGAGTACAAAAACAGCCATTTAGCTGTTTTGGGCAAGCAAATGAGCTATCTATTGATTGATTGATTGTTCACTATAGTAGACTAAAGCTGTTTTGCAAGTCCACGTGCCGTACGTTACCAAAAGTCCACAAGATAGGAAAAAATGTGACAGATCAAAAGGACCTTGTCGGTCACTTGTTGTCGTCTCGTTTTACATGAAATATGCCAAGTTTGTAAGTTATATTCACCCACACAAAATAGAACAACAAAGTAGGCATGTAAACGGTTCTGATCATTTTTGGCTACATCACCATAAAATTATTTATCTGCATTTCCTCCTTCAGTCAGCCTAGTTTCACAAACAATTCACGTGCACTGGCATCTAGAGGCAGCAAGAGCTAAGAAATCGTGACCAATGTCTTCGCTGTGACTATGGGCCCCAATTATTGCACCGCGAATGCAAAAGAGCAGAATGTATTTTCACATTTACGTTTTTACTTCAAGGATAACGTACATCAAGATGCAAGGCTGATAAAGCTAGCTAAGCGACTTTGTCGGCCACTAGGAACGCAAATGTTAATTTGGTGAGCGACAGTGAGTTCACGCGCTACACTTCCCCCTTCACATGAAAACACAAAGACCTCATAGTTGTCTCAAAAGTAACTCAGGGACGTTATTCCTCATAGTCAACCTCATGCATGCTGATCGTGAAAAATGCCGTGGGGAAATTGCCGATAAACAAGAAAATGAGGAGAGAAGACACAATTAGATGGAAGAAAGCAGTTGCTGATTCGAAAAAGAATAAAACTCTGACGGAGAGCCTATACTTTTTTTTTTAATTTAGTTCTTTCATACTGACATCTGCCCATTAAAGCTTGCCGTAAGCTTGGAGACTGGCTTTTCGAATGAGATGGTAAAGAGCTCCTCAATTGCAACTCTTCAGCAACAAGCCCTTAGGCAGCCCTTTTCCTTTAAAACTTTTACCAGGGTTATATACATGTTGAAGAACCAGAATAGTTTGTGCCAAACCAGAAGATAACAAATATTTCAAGCTATAAGTTCAGTGGCCAAGCTAAGAGGTTAGGGTGGTTCAGCCTCCCACCACGGGGATGTTATTCCATCTGTACTTTTACATATATGCATGCACATACAAACACATGCAAGGTCCCAAATAAAGCGAACACTGAACCAGAAAGTTTTCTCCAGGACCCTGGATACATATGTTCATTATTAAATCCTGTTTATGCAGAAACAGGCTTACATCAACTTATTTATCTCTTTGTTCTTCATGGGCTTGATTATGAGCATGGAACCAACGGGCTCCTTGCTTATATGAGCCACAGGCTCTCAAGAGCCCTCGGCTAACAGAAAATTGCATTTCGTTTTGTTAAAAGAAAGGAGCACTATTTAACAGGCAGAAAGATTCCCTAGCCCCTTTCAGCTGGTACTAGGAAAGACAAAAGCGAGGAAGGGGATGTTGGAACAACGTGGCGACATGTCCCCACTGGTTCTGGACTTGTAGGGACGACCTTTCCACGAAAATCGGGCCGCTAGTGCCCCGCTTGGGTCCTCAGGAAGCCCCCAAGCACATTTCTCCTCTCGTCTGCCCCTCTCAAGAGCCAATTGTACCCCCTTGCCCCACCCTAGTTACATGTATAACAAACCCTTCTGACCAGATACTGCTATAATAATACCTCGACCACGTCCTACAATGGTATGATGACTGGCTTATGTTTTTAAACCCTATCAAACGGAAGCTCGTCATCTGCACTTCTCTTATAACATAGTTAACGCCTCTGTTAAATCAGTAACCACTTATAAAGACCTTAGAGTCACTTTACCCTACAGTTTGTCGTGCAACACTAACATTGCTAAGGTTACATAATCAACTAACATCGTGCACAAACTACTTCCTAAAAAGTCGATAGCCAGGTCAAAGTTAGAATATGCATCTCCCGTCTGGAACCCATCCGAAATTGGCCTCGAAATTCTCTAGAAACCATTCAAAATTGTGCACCTACTATATTCATTCGTTCTTCTTACACATACGGCAAAAACAGATACAACATTATGTTTCATCCCTGAAAGGCGAGTGTAACTTATCACCTCTGTCTTTTCACCGGCGCATTTCAAACCTCTCATTATTTCATAAGTTCTCTGACTCCCCCTTCGTCACTCTCCTCACATTATCCCTGCACCCCACATATCTCATCGCAGCGGCCATGCACTACAAGTTTTTTGTCCACATGCCCGTACTAAAACATTTTTTCTACTTCCTTTTTTCCCAAAGCAGCAAAAGACTGGAACAGCCTTTCCCCCAATGTTGTCGCAATCACCTGCCCATCAAGCTTCATGCATAGCATTTCAAATGTAACTTGACATTGTGACAATGCTATCAATTGTAACCCACCCTTTATGTAATACCCTCTCGGGCTTCTTTAAGAAAATAAAAGTGAAATTAAATTGCATGCACACCACAGTGTCCACTTACAGCACTGCAAACAAGCGATTGCAAGAGGTCTCACAGCTGCTAGGGTCAGAATTTAGCAACCAGCAAACCACTATTGATCAGGCACCACAATGATCGAAGAAATGAATTCGAAGGGCTCCTGGCCCTGTTGCCAATAATTATACAAAATTACCCCAGCCGTCACAAAGCGTCCTGCTGAACAACCAAAGCGTTTGCATTCGCTTTTTTTTTTTTCCATAAATGCGGCGTGCAAATACACTAAAACCTCGTTATAACAAAGTCCCACCTGCCATGAGAATACTTTGTTAATCATAAGCATACATTTGTAGCAATGTATCTATGCCAGAGCCATTCTTCTCTCACTTCGTTATAACCAATAATGCATTGCAGCTGAGTTCGTTATATTGACATTTGAGTGTAATCAAATAAACACTCTGATACACACAGATAAGGAAAGAACACGACCACCAGGCAGCTGCACGTAAGCAAGGACTTTATTTGACACATCATTATTTGTACGCGTAGTAACAGAAGTGACTAAATACCACAATGAGAAAATACACCTTAAAAGGCCAAAGTAAACGTACATATATGAGCACAGAAATAAAAATGCACATACAATCTTTGTCAGTGGCATTTGGATAATGGTGTGCCCGCACAGATTGGCTCTCCTCGTCACAAACGCAGACTCGTCGAGATTTCTTTTCACGACAGGCCTGTCAGTTTTGTAAAACGTGAATCCTCACCGTACGACATATCACAGCAGTTCACAAGCACAGACAACACAGCACAAAACTACAAATATTTACACGCAATAGGAACAAATGTGTCACTTGAGATTAAAAAAAATGAAAATTTCACAGTCCTTGAGAATGTTACTGGAACACTATTTCAAAACTTTTTATTTTGTCAACTACGCGACATCACACTCTTAACAAGCATGTGAAGAACGGGTGAGTAAACGCAGGCTCCCCACTTTATGTCCAATGGAAAAATAATAATTTTCATCCTAGTTTCAACAAAAAATCGTGTTACTGGGCGGGAATAGATTTCGCAAAGCCCATATTACAATTTGTGTTATGAGAAAACGCGAACGCAACAGTGAACTGAAGAGATTCCGAATTATATGGGATCACAGAATAGTTGTGCCAGACTGCCGTTGCTAGTTTTTCGGCACCTTCGAGCATTGTTCTAAATAAATTTAAAACAATATCACTAACACATGTATATAATCTATGGTATCTTGGGCTGAGAGCTAACTTTCTTTGCAGTTCTCAAAATAACACGACTCGGCTACCTTCGAATGTAACCTGAGAACACATCAGTATCTGTGCAAATACAAGCCCACCTTTACGAAAGATGTTCAAGTACGCTGGGATATTCACTACTGGTGAACAGTGACATACAAAACAATAAACGTAACTAAGAACACTGTGCAAGTCTCTTCAATGCTGCGTTCATGAGCTTCCATGCAGTGATTATGTGACAATCACCTTCGTACTGACACTAAAGGCCCCTGTGGGCTTCAGCAGCTGTTAAAACACATCCCAATATCTTTTGCAGGTGACGTGAATATTAAGGGACCATCTTAAATGATGGTTACAGTTGCTGAGCTTCAAATTAGCAGCACAGTTCACAATACATATCTAAGAACCTGTAAAGTTGGCTAACAATAGAAGGGTTCGCAGACATCTCAATTTGTGAGCACGATACAAGACGCTGTTTGTATTCCACATGTAATGAATTATTCTTTCGGCCATCTTGTTCCGCCAACAGAAAACACTAAGCTTCATTGGGAATTCTTATCTCCCCACTGATATAACCACGCAGGCGTGGTACCAAAACCACGAAAAAACTACCTTATTAAGAAAACAAAGATGAGCAGTGCAGGTACTGAAGCTCTCTCTGTGCTGTTAAGAGAGGTGCTTAACTGTATGGTGTTTCTACAATGAGAGCACATATTAATCATTATGCAAGTGCTGAAATCGCCGCACAAGTACTGAAATATGGACCCTTGACTTCGTTTGTTCTCGTTTTCGGCATTTTGTCTGCACCATGAACACGAATTCAAACGTGAAATCTACGTATGTTCAGCAATATGTTCAGTGGAGGTGATCCCATCACATTTCAACAGTGATTATAGAAGGACTACGCGGGTGTGCCCCAATATCTTGACACCATAAAAAAAACACACGCAACACTCTTTTCGCACCAGTTGTGAATTCTATTGTCACAACACTGCTCAGTAAAGAGCTTTTTCCAGCTGTCGATAGTTGTGAGTTCGCAACACCGTTTTTACCCCTGCCATGAGTTCCAATGTTACAACACGCTTTTTACACCTGTCATAAGTTTTAACGCTACAACATGTTTTTTACGCCTCTTGTGAGTTCTCAAGGGACCCTTATTATGCCTGCTGTGGGCTGTAATGACAGAGCTTTTACTTTAATAAAAAAATACAAGCATCTCTGTAAAAATCTGCTCAATAATGTGAATCAACAGCTATCATTAAGCACCAGCTTGTGTAGTTGAGTTGAAACAGAAAATTATGTATTCCTTCCCTATGACGCTGCTTTACAATTGTCTAAGGTTGAGGATTTTAAAGATGGACAGCATGATGCTATCCACATAAAGCCAAAATCCCCACATTTAGGAAGTCGTAAAGAGGGCTGTTTGTACAGCTAACTTCCTAGAAAAAAAAAAGAAACACAATGGACATAAGTTTTCTCTGCTTTCGGGAGATCTCCCCACCTACGATGGCAGCATACCCGAAGGAACAGTCACAACCAGATAATTGAAACTTGTAAATGTACAAGAGCTTTGCACTAATATACTGCCTACATGTGGTCATTTTTTGAGCAGGGGCAGGTTTTGGATGCGATTGAGCTGGAAGATTTCGGGAGAACACGGGTCCTCAACAATAGAGAGACTTGCGTATGCCATAAGAAATGTTGTTATATCGATAACGTAAATTGCATTGCTACCTACCTCCATGGCTTTTTTTTTACAATACATGGCCATGCTGTAAATGGCCTCACAAATGACATCATGGCGAGGTCGAAAAGCAAGAAGATTGCATAGCACTCTACCTTGCAATGCTTGTACACCTAAACCAAATGGTCTCCATCTAAAAATCTTCCGATACAGCTGCAAAGAAGAATGGCTTCAATCATATTAAATTCAGGCGCAACTGCAACTATCGCAGCGTCCAAGGTCGCTGTGATGAGTGAAGAAAACGACGACAAAGACAGCGGGCCAAAGCGTCGGACGCAGGCGATCCAGGTTCCGGCCAGGGAACGCGGCTGTTCATGCTACTGTCGTCCAGATACCAGCTGGGGTGGCGTTGCTGGCACAAGTACTGCATCTCGGGGCGCGGCCTGGCCTGCTGTTCTCTTCCTTGCCGAGGGCATCGCGGATCTCGGTGAGGCGTCTCCACGGTCAGCCGTTCGGCACAGCGATGAACGTGGCCTGGCTAATGGTCACAGTTGCACCGAGCATCGCGTCTCGACGCAAGCTGTTCGCTGGACGGGCTGGCCATTTACATGCATGGAGCATCGAGTCTCCGGTGCGGGTTGACTGCTCCGTAGTCGCACCCACGCCGTCAAACGCCGTCGTCACCAGAGCGTCGCCCATCGACAAGTGAGCGCATTCCACAGCGTTTTTCCACCGCCTCCTGCCCTGCACCTCATCGGCGTCTGTCGTACCGCCGATCTGGCTCTTAGGTTTTTGAACGTTCTTACTTGAATGCTAATTGGACATATTTTAAACGAAGCTTAGTTCTCTCTGTTGGTTGTTCGTACCTTTTGTGCCTCATTGTTTTCTATGTTTATTTTCCGTGTTCTGTCATAAACGTCGTGTGTGTTGTTATCGCGTCGTCTCAAAGTCCGTTTCTCCTCCCACGACACGCAAAACAAGCGTTGACGAACCTTAGCCTCGATAAAGAATAAGTTTCATTACAATATTATGGCGAGCTTGCAACAATTAAGCTCTTCTTTTAAATATATTTAACAGTGTCACCTTGTTTGTGCGCCGTGCTTAAGGAATGAACCCGGAAAAATAAGCACCGTTCTGTGAACATAGTAGGATTTAGGCCAAGGAAGAAACAATTGGTTGTAGAAACAGTTGGGTGCAAACTAACGCAGGGGACAGGAGCGTTGAGGTTGTGTGATCGTGAGGGCAGCGAGATTGTTGTGCGGGAGGGCTTGACACACTATTGTAATAGCCGAATGGGCACGATGGTAGATGCCGTCTTGGACTAACTTGAAACAGCCATGCGCCCTGGCTTTAGCACAGTTGGTGATGCAGGAGCCTTAGGTCATGTGAACGATCACGCTAAGCTTGCGGGTGAACATGGTTTGACGGGTGACGGCTACAGCAGCCGCAAGGACATTTAAGTCAAGCAGGGCTTGGCAGTTTTTGTTCGCGTTCAGTGTAGACGCGTTGCAGTTTGGAGGACGTTAGGCATGAGGGCTCGAGAGCTCTGCGTAGTTTCATGCGACGCTTCCAGAAGGATATCAAGTGAGCTGGACTTGATTATTTCAATCTCTTTAAAGACTTGAGTCAAGTTACGTAACCTATGCTAGGAGACTGAATAATTTGTTGGAAATTAAAAGTAGGATTATTAAGATTCTATTATTTGTTAGAGCATAGCAGATGCTCTGCAGGTAAATCTTCCTGCAATCATTATAATTTGATTGAACAGAACAATCACATTGAGAATATTTGTTTAGACCAAAGTTAAGCACATTGGAATTCAGCGTTCGCTACACAATGCTAAATGTATCCTACCAAGAAAAGCGTTCAATCAGCCAAGGAGTGTCACTACCACACTGAAGGAAAGTGCCACAAGTTCGTTAGAAGAGCTGAAACATGCATTTGTAAAAGCGTGATTTCAAAAATATCAGGCCATTTGAAATCATACATTGTTTGGTATTGGTTCTTGTTGCCCGTATGCATGTCTTCATTCTTCTGGACTGTACCATTGTAAAAACAAGTCGGATTGTGATATAGAGACATTTCTGGATAGGCCAAAGCTCAATTAACACCTGTTTTCATTCATCATCACTGTGTTGTGTGAGAAAAGTTATTTTCTGAAACAACTTTCTTGTGTTGGGGGTTATTGTGATGAGTGAAGAAAACGAAGACAAAGACAGAAGACAGCGGGCCAAAGCGTCGGACGCAGGTGATCCAGGTTCCGGCCAGGGAACGTGGCTGTCCACGCTACTGCCGTCCAACTACCAGATGAAGTGGCGTTGCCGGCACGAGTACTGCATCTAGGGGCGCGGCCTGGCCTGCTGTTCTCTTCCTTGCCGAGGGCATCACGGATCTTGGTGAGGCGTCTCCACGGTCAGCCGTTCGGCACAGCAATGAACGTGGCCTGGCTAATGGTCACGGTTGCGCCGAGCATCGCGTCTCGACGCAAGCTGTTTGCTGGACGGGTTGGCCATTTACACGCATGGAGCATCGAGTCTCCAGTGCGGGTTGACTGCTCCATAGTCGCACCCACGCCGTCAAACCCCATCGTCACCAGAGCGTCGCCTATCGACAAGTGAGCGCATTCCACAGCGTTTTTCCACCGCCTCCTGCCCTGCACCCCATCGGCGTCTGTCGTACCGCCGATCTGGCTTTTAGGTTTTCGAACGTTCTTACTTGAACGCTAATTGGTAATTTCTTAAACGAAGCTTAGTTCTTTCTGTTGGTTGTACGTACCTTTTGTGCCTCATTGTTTTCTATGTTTATTTTCCGTGTTCTGTCATAAACGTCGTGTGTGTTGTTACCGCGTCGTCTCAAAGTCTGTTTCTCCTGGCACGACACGCAAAACAAGCGTTGACGAACCTTAGTCCCAATAAAAAATAATTTTCATTACAGTCGCAATAATGGAGAGTAAGTGAATGATATCAGGACTTTCCTTCCACATTCTCCAGTTTCTGCACAGCGTTACCACAGGAATAAAACGTGTTCGAGTATGTGTGTGCAATTCGGAGAAACGACATTAATAATGTCCAAGAAGAAATGTCATTACTAACAGCAATTCGTTATGAAATGACAAGGTTGGTGCGTGAATTCCCACAGTAAAAAGAACCAAAGACTTGGCAGAACCATTTACGATTTTTGCTTCATAGTTAAAATTTTGTCATTGTAAACGAGCGGTATGATTCGCTACCTTCGCTCCACGGTTCCAGAGAACCAGTGACAACACACTAAGCGAAAACAGTTGACATCTGGTGCAGACACATTTTTTCGCAGAAACATCAGCAAACGAGCCTTGCAAGCAAAGTTGCCACACGACAACTTTTTCCTGGCACTGCCCGCCTTATAAAGGTTCGCTTTTACCGAATGAACACTTCTGCTAGTTTTCCTATCGATTCCGTATGTACTGAAAAACTAAAAACTCGGCAACAAAAAAGAATACACATGGCTCATTTCATAAAATATACACTGTGAAAGTTTTCACCATTGAAAGAGAAATGAAATAGCTTGACGAGTTAAGATTAAGATTAAATTTTTAAACAATGTGCATTGCTATACATATTTCAAAAAAAGACTTTCACACCACGACATTAACATGCTTCTCTGCAGTTCAGACATTAAAAAATATGTGTGTAACATAATTCAAGCTCCACAGTTGCTCTAACGAAACTTATGTGCCTGAATGAATGGTTCTGAAAAACCCACAACTAATTAAATCTCACAAGCAAGAATCCAGTGTCTATTCATATATGGGCCCACATGTGCACATACGCTGAATGTGCATGGTTTGAATGTAAAACTTCCTCTCTAACCGTAAAATATGGGTATTATGAAGTATCAGCTATGATAATTTTACTGAAGAATAACTACAACATCAACAGAGTATTGCAAGATGTGTTTAAAACGAAATTTCCGTTAAAACGAAACCACTCTTGAGTCAAGCTTCACTTTAATATAATGTTAAATGGTTGTAAATAACAGCAATAATGCACAACACAGGAATTCAACATAATTATAAATGATTGCTCTAGCCATAATATGTCCGTATGTCCAGCACAATCCCCAACAGACTGCTAGAAACTGAGGCTACTCGGGTGAGACAAAACTGTCAGTTGTTCATGATTAGGCACAACGTCGCTCACACCCCAAATACCATTATTTGAATATGGCTTGCACCAAACCCCATCCTTGAAAATGTCCCCCTCCCCAAAAAATGACTGCAATCTAAAGTCTGTTTTCAACCCCACGCGTTTCTTTTTGGTAGGGAAGTAGACCAGTTTAGTGTATTAGGCAAACAAAAGTGATGCAAGATGAATTCCGAGGTTGAACTGCAAATACTACATTGTAACAGCAATTCATCGACGTTACCAGATGTACGAAAATAACAATGCTGGGAATATTGTCTATACCAACGATTCAATGCCATACAATAAATAAAAAGCAACAGAAGGTTGGCAGATCTCATGCAAGTAAACTCGGCTCATAAAGATTAACAAATGAGCACCCAGTTAGTGTGACCAAGGCTGGTTCCCTAGTAACATGCACCTGGCCAATCTCATGCGTAACATTACAGTCACTCTTGTAAACTCATCCAGCAAATCACAAGCACTAGCAAATCAACACTGATTTTGCAGTAGCGAATGTGTAATCCTGGAGATACAGAAATCACTTGTGGGGCAATATACATAGCTAAATGAAGATGTCACTTAAAAAAAAATGGACAAAAAACAATCTTGCATGCAAGAACAAAAGGTGCCCAAACAGACTGGCCCATGAAAACACCGGCAAGACAAAGAAGAAAAAAGCAGATCAAGCGGCTGGCAAACGAGACGACCAGCAGAGCCAACTGCCATGCCATGCCGAATCTCCCAGCCAGATGTAACAACCTGCAGCGAAGAATCAGGTGAGCTTGTCGGTCTCGGCCGTGTCCTGTGCGTCACCAGAAGCACCGCAGCCCATGGCCTGGACCGGGTACAGCCCCGGCTGCGATGGGAAACGTTGAATGTGCACGGGATTACCCCCCTGGGGAAAGAAAACATACAACAGATTTTCTTTTACCTATTACAACAGATGAGAAAAGCAGGCGCACAGTGCCAGCCTTGGGCAAAGGGACTAGAACAGTTCCTTCACATTTCACTCAATTGATTCAGTTCATGACAGCATGCAACAGAACCTAATATCTACTTTATGGCATACCTGGCTGGTCACGGCCAAGTGCTTCAAGGTGCCCTAGTGCCCTCATTTGCATTCACACGGTAAATATCGAGTGCTCTTTCATCATGTTGCGGAGTGACAAGATTGAGGAATAAAAAAATACCAAGGCACACATACGACAGAACACACGTTTAGCACACTGCTCTTAGGTAATACGTAGTGCTCTGTCCTGGATCACCATGTCTCCCACATGAGAAGCACTGTGGAGCTTTTGCGTGCCCTTAGCAACTCTTGCGAGAGCTTCAATATTTTCTGTCGTTTCACGGCGGGTGCCAGCCGGCTTCATTATCGTATCTCGCACCATCTGAAGTACCGATGTTTCGTGGCTTCAAGGATGACGTTGACGTATGAATGGCGATCATAAATGCGATCGGCTTGTGTCATGCGACGCCCGAAAATACAAAATGGCTGATAGCCACCGACCGCCTATGCGGTGCTACAGAGTCATGGCCCAAGTACGAAGGTGTCGAGCCACATTTCGGCATCGCGTGGAGTCACCGGCTCATTGCTGTTTTTGGTCGGATTTGCCATGACACCTGCGTGTACAACAAGACAAGTACCAAAAATGGAATTCAGGAAAACCTCCTCAAGGGCGAAACTGTACAATGCAGCTCATCAACCAGAAGCAGCTTGGCTGCTATCTCTCGAGCAAACAATGGAACCAACTTGATTTCTTCGCAATTGCAGCGGGGGGACCTGCTCCCCCAAGTTTCGGTGGCCGGGTCAACGTTACACCACCAGATTCCCGACAAAATGTCTGACACCACCAAATGCAGTTACTCTACTACAGGTCATCGTCATTGGCGAGCTTACTGCTTTTGTGCAAACTGGAGCTCTGCGCACGGCGCTGCATAGACACCATGCCCCAGCCAACCTCCTATGGCCTGAGGCACCCCTGAATGTCCTTGGTGGCTGCGTGTTGCCTGTCAGTGCGCTTAACGTTTACCTCCAAAGGATAGCCGGGAGCAAGTTTCTGGCTGGCGTTCTAGTTTTCGGGGACCTACCGGCTAGTATGATCCTAAGGGGCTGATTACCTCCTCTCAGGTAAAGTTCGCCTTACTGTAGATTCCGCTAGAATCAACCTTGACTCCCGGTACCACATCAGACTAAAGGCCCCGAATACATAGGCCTCAATCACAAGTGTCTACTAATACCTAAAGCACCTTCTGTGATCAAACGGATATGAATAAATATTCTAGCTTTCCGGCAGTCATTGGCTGAGGATGTGAACGTTTCGTACAAGGAAGCCAGCACGAAGACCATGGATGCGCCCCAGACAGGCGGAGCCAGCATTAGTCATCCCAGCAACCACAGGTGCCAGTCTGTCGACGACACGCTCTATTCCGACATCTGGTTCCCCACCAGAGCGCCGCGTATATCAATATGAAGCGGCTGTAACCACTTTCAGACTTGCCACAGACTCACCCCAAGTGGTCCCCATCATTAAATTTGACACTGACCGATCGGGCGGCGAGCAGTTTAATCAAAGCAGTGAGCTGCCTTTAGGAACATTGGATAATTTCGGCGCAGAGGGCTGCTATGACGACGTTCACGCGTGCGAAAGTTATGCAGAACCACAGGCCACCACCTTTCGTTCCAGTTACCACAGATAAAAGATTGCGGAGACGGCAATGCAGATGCTGCTACGCCGAACTTAGACCACTTTCCGCAGCTTGCCCAAAGTTGCGCACCTTCTACACTGCACAAGCATCCGTCTGCTGAGCCCACAGACTGTGAACGACTACAAGCGCCCCTAACTGCAGCAACAGAACACTCAACTAAGTGTACTGCGGCCACATCGAGGCAGGCAAGGTCGCCCACCCGACTGTTTGGCAGCTAAGTGCACCGGACAAAGACGCCCAAGGCACAGCCAACACCGCCCACTTGCGATGACAGTTCAAGGTACCCGGCATGTGGGCCTTCAACGACTACTGCCGCACAGCCAATGTCGTCCACCCGAATGAATTTTTGGAGCTCCCCATGCAATTTCGCAGCGTGGCAGAGTGTAACATAGATGCAGTGGCAGTTGGGCATGGGTCTGCTTGCTGGGATAATTGGAAGTGGAGAAGAACAAATCCAGAGAATAGAACAGCTGGCCTGTAGCAAGAGTGCTGTCTCTGTGTCTACTCCCTTTAAATCTGTTATTAAACACCATTTAGAAAAATTCTGACGGTTAAGCGTTCATTGCTGACTCAAGCAAAACAGCAATACCACTCCTGAATTTCGACCCCTGGGTGGTTTACGAGCACTTCAAAATGAACACGTCACTATTCAATACCACCAGAAACCTGGTCTAGCCAATCATGCTATTTATTATCTCATAATGTTGTTTACCAAATTATATTTCACAATAATCATAATGTGTACAACACAAGAACTTTTCACTCATATTTGCCAGACCTGTAGAATCTGCTTTTAAAGTCTGATGAAAACAATCAAACTAGCATCGTCGGCTAGATAAGCTCTGGCAGTCTTGCCACAAACATTGTTTTTGAGTTTGATAAAGGAAAGTTGCGGAAAAGCATCATAAGAAACAGGCTTTCAGGCACTGCATATTCTTTGTCCTAATTCATATGACAGAAATTTACTGGAATATTCGAAATCTGCAGAAGAAACCTAAACAATCGTATTGAAATTGATTCGGTAAGTCCATTTAATGAAGAAAATACAATATTTTTTCATGAGCCACAGCTCCATGAATACATAATTCATGAAAGTAGTATTGCACTGATCCACATCATAATTAGGTACAATGTAACGGACATTTCTCTCGTGAACCCTCGGTAATAATAGGCTTATATCCATTTTACAGAATTTTTAAGGAATTAAAATGAGATATTTACGTGAGTATTTAAAAATTTTTCAAAAAGTCTGAGCTGATTACCCGTACACGATTTCATTCCAGGAAAAGATCATCTACAAAGTTGCGATGCTAAGAGAAGAAGAACTTATTCTTCATAATAAAAAGAAGAAACTAATCACTTTAGGAATACTGAGAGACAATGTTCAAGCCTCCAAAACTTCTTCATTCACACTTGAGCCAAAGCCCCTCTGCCTAGACCCAAGCGGTGATGATGAGTATTTACAAGTGAGAAGGCGAATGATATGAATAGTGCTAACAGTATGCAAAGTGCTCACAACAACTGCCCGCGGGACAAAGCGGCCAACGTGGCCGCGACTTAGATTTGTGAGAGACATCGCACAAAAGGCTTTAGATGGGAAACATCGACTATCTTCGAACCGCGGTAGCGACGATCTCGAGAAACGTCAACGGGAGTGATACGATAGTTCACATTGGATGTTTGTTCGTTAATTATGTAGGGACCAAGGAATCGCGTCTGAAACTTTTCACACAATTCTGGAACACGAGTAGGTGTCCCAAAGAGAATTTCGTCGCCAGGACGGCAAGAGACATCACGATGAGCGATGTCATACCACTGCTTGCGGTCGTATTGACTGGCTTCGGTACTAAACCGAGCAAGTTGCTGACAGTTTTGAAGTCTCGAAACGAGCTAGTCGGTGTGCAGAAGAAGGAAGCGTTGATCGTGAATGTCACAGAACGACAGTAAACAAGGTAGAAGGGCAGGTACCCAGTAGTATGTTGAATGGCGGTGTTATGAGCGAACGTCACAAATGGTAAAGTTTTGTCCCAAATGTCGTGAGCTGGCCCAATATACATGGATATCATTTTAATTAGTGTGTGGTGAAAGCACTCTGTGATACCGTTTGTCTGAGGATGGTATGCTGGTGTGGTCTTGTGAACTGTGCTGTAATTTTTAAGCATCTCTTCAACTATTGTAGATAGGAAAGTCTTGCCGCGATCGCTTAAGAGGACACTGGGTGCACCGTGACACAAGACAATGGTTTCAAGAAAGAAGGTTGCCACGTCAGACGCTGAACTGGAGTGTAGAGGAGCAGTCTCCGCGTAACGCATGAGGTGGTCAACGGCTGTCACGATTCATCGATATCCTGCAGCTGTTACTGGAAGAGATCCAACCAGGTCTACTCCAACAACGATTGGTTAGTAGCTATGCAACTAACCAATTATGTGATTCTTCTCTTGGTAAACTGTCTGATTCTTGTTTGGTGTGTTAAAACTGCTACTGCAACTTGTTTTTACGGTTAATATGCTTTCTCACAAACAGTCTGATTCTCGCCTGTATAGTTACAACTTGTACTGTTATTTTTTAGCTCACATTGTATTTACAGAAGAAAGCTTGTATTGTGTTTCTTTTTAAATGTACCACTCCCCTCTATAATGCCTCTAGCCCTGAGGGTAATTCCAAATAAATAAATAAATAATAAACATCAAAAGGTTCCTCTGGACATGGCATTGGTTGCAACAAGCCAGCAGGAGGTGAAGTTGGTCGCTTGCGCCGTTGGCATAGTGGCATCTCCATCTTGCCACAGAGGTGGAGAGGCCAGGCCAGAAAAAGTGGCTCCCAATGCGGCTGTACGTTTTGTTAAATCCCAAGTGGCCAGCTGTTGGGTCGTGGTGAAAGGCCTTAAGGGCCTGCACACAAAGCAAACGTGGAAGAACAAGAAGCCAACGGTGCCCATCATTATTGAAAACGTATCGGTGTAGAACGTTGCTTTCAGTCTTGAATCGCTTGAGCTGTCGGCGCAGCCTGGCATTAGGTGGCGTAGACTTGCTGCAGAGGCCTTCAACACTGCACTTGCAGTAGGAATCTTGCTGTTGACAGGAGGCCAACAGAGTGTATTGAGTGGAAGACAGTGGCCCAACAAGGGTGAGTTTTGATAACGTTAGTTGACGCGATGCCTAATCATAACGTGACGAGGCATGAAGA